GGTCAACAGGGGTTCACAAAAGCTAAGTGAAGATTAGCTCAATCACCCCAAGATGTAATACCCAGATAGCCTATCCTCCAACCTTGAGAACAAATTTGGGCAATGATACAAATTGTTCCCAAACAACAGTATACTTAGAATTAATTACCTAAACTCTAACAGCTGGTATTGGAGCCTCCCCCGGTAGCAAAACATATCCTTCCCAGGTTGATTTAGGGCTTTTAGGCCACCCTATGGGGAAAGTTTTGGTTATAGAAATATGGTACTTGGCTAGACGATTTCACAGAACGCTGGTACAAATGATCTACAAACTACCGCATCGGAAAAGCACATCCCAGCCTATGACACCTGAGAACCTATTACTATTAACACACCATATACCATCAGATAACCAACTAGACATGAGTTACAGTAAACACCCGGGATAAAGACAGAACTCTGTAAAGAGGAAACGGTGGTTATTAGCTTAATTTATGGGAGTAAGTGGTGCACCATCAGTACACATTACCTGATACACCGATCAATGATGTATTGCTTGAGGGCAATGCTGTTGTGGTCTTTTAGACTCCCCCAAACATGCACAGGCAATCACCCCAGGCACACACACCCCTGGGTACTCACCCGTCTAGTTGCAGGGAAGCCAAGAGTCACTGACAACTAGGAATACCAGTGGGAGCACCACCCAGAGAACCAGAAACCTCATGTGCACCGGAAAATCGCAGAATACTCACCATGTCCCCTAGTAAGCAAAAAATATGACACCAGGAATGGGACAGAACATAAGAGTTATGGTTCCTAAACAAGAACACAAGACATGGCTTCTAGCCTGTGTGGTCATAGGACTTTTTAGTCTATGAAGTGTATATTTTACTGCAAATGGTTACTTGACTAACAAGTATTTGGACCAAGTTTGGTTCAAATCAAAGCAAACAACAGAACACTCATATCCTACTCTTAACTAGAAAATAACCAGGTATATCCTAAACTTAACGTGATCCTCAAGAATGGCAAATCTTAATGAGGCATGGATAAATAACTGGCCCCAACTGGAGCAGACTAGCAACTAATATCACGAAACACCAGCGCAACAGAACTAACCTAACAACCTTGATATTAATTACCCAAATAGTAGGGCACTGGACTAGTCACATTAGGTTACTCCTGGCACAGTAAATCAAATCACAGTTCAACTCAAACACGTTGACAACAGGCATATGTCCTAATACTCCGCAATCAGCAATGATAACTACAGGGTGCGCCACAGAAACTTACTTATTTGAAAAAATTTTTGTGCCGTTAGTTGGTTGGGTAGAGGGGCAAGAGGGGGTGCATCTGAAGGGGAAAGTTCCCAAGTTTGTTTCTCAAAGTTTCTCAAATAAATTTGCCGTAGTGCAAGAATTAACTGAACGCAATTTTGTTGCCCGTCAAAATGCATGTAAAATGGTGGTTGACAATCTGCCTGAAGACGCGGTCGTTTTTTTCAGTGGCAAGGCTCACTTCCACATTTCCGGCTGTGTCAACAGGCTAAACATGCGTTATTGGTGTGGTGTAAATCCACGTGAGTTTCACCAGAAGCCACTTAACTGTGAGCGAGTTACTGTCTGGTGTGTGACGTTGGTAATGGGAATAATTGGTCCTTATTTTTTTAAGAAAACGAACGCGCAGTTACCGTTAATGGAGCTCGTTACAGGAACATGATCGAGGAACTTTTTCTTCCAAGACTTGAAGAAATTAACTTTAGGAACGTGTGGTTTCAGCAAGATGGAGCCACAACACATACAGCACGAGACTTGATGAATTTGTTGCGACATCATTTCCCCGACCGCCTCATCTCTCTCAGAGGCGATCTCCAATGGCCGCCATGCTCTCCAGGTTTGACTCCATGCAATTTCTTTTTATGGGGATATTTGAAATTTCTGGTTTATGTCGATCGACCACGGACCATAGCACACCTCATGAACAACATTCGCGACGTCATTGCCAAAATACCGATTGATATGCTGCATAGAGTGGAAACCATTATAAAAAAAGCGACTTCATTAGTTTATGCACAATGGAGGCCGTCATTCATGAGATTTAATTTTCAAAACTATATGAAAAAAAATTTGGGATACTGTTTTCTCGAATAAAAAAAAAATTTAAAACAATAACTGAAGTACTTTTGTTTTTATTGACCTTTCAAATAAGTAAGTTTCTGTGGCGCACCCTGTATAAGCCCTTGAGAAATGGTCAAGAATAGCCAATGAGTTGAACTGCTAGGCCAATGCTTTGGTTACATAATCAGTTATAGGACAACGTCAATTTAGTACAATAAACATATAGATATATAGCATAAATGCAGCAGTCTTCAAGAAGTTCAGGATTAGGTGATGATACTCAGGTTGGGAAGGTTATGGGTCACCAGTCTGGGTTTCCAGGTCTCTAAACCGCTTGACAGCTGGGCCCGGCACCGGCTGCTCCATTAAGGAGCAGTGAAATTGCCTTGGAACAGGAGTACGTGGGAGAACCAGTGTAGTTTGGCAAGCAGGTATAAGGTGACTTCAAGCAAAGGATGCAGGCATTGATGAAGTTAGGTAGTTAGGCAAACCATGCTGGTGTGTTATGAATGCAATGAAGCTTTACACTGACAAATGTTGGCTGTAAGTAATTGGGTAGGCCAATAACAAGGATATAAGTCAGTAACAAACACAGAAAGAAAGAAACAAACAGTATTAACAACAACGTTAACGAAAACAACTCCTTCCTATAAAAGAAAGCAATAAAAGGTTGCATGATCTAAAATGTCATGATAAATCATAGGCCTTGCAATCAAAGTTATGCAAGAGACTGGAAGTTTAATAAGAAAGCTAAGAGGGGCAGTATGCTCCTCTTCAACGCAAATTACGTAATCGCACTGACCATACACACAAGTGTGTATCCGCATTGTGCTGTGGTTGGATATGAGTTAACTAGATCGCTAACGTGTCAACTCAGGACTCAGGTCTCAGGTTCTAAGAGTCAGCACAGTAATGAATATTCATTCATAGATCACAATTCAATCGGACATGAATTACAGAACTAAAGAAGGCAACATGGCTTTAGATGTGCCATTGGTGCCTTCTAATGAATGACTGGACTGGTTGCGGCAAATAGGGTATGAACCTGTATGTCAACAGTACAAACCTGTGTCAACAGTACAAACCTGCATGCCAATGTTGGGACTACATTCCCGACATCCTCCCGGCCGGCAAAATTGATGCGATCAATACCTAATAACAATGCACATAAATTGACTATACAAATTAGGTCAATATGGCATAATTACAGAGCGTAATTATACTATGTGATACAAAATATGAATATATATATATTTGCAATAGGTATAAGTCAATGGTCAGTCGTTTATTTTTGCTTCATTTGCGCAATTATGGTTTCCAAATCTGGGTGTGTTATGTTATGTCATGTGTACTTTGAATGTGCAAAAATTATAACTATCATATGAAAATTGTTACCTACGTAGGTTATCATAGCACGAATCGCAATAGAGTATCAAGATTGCAGTTCTGCCACCACCCTTCATTGAATTATCCCACCTTTTTTCTAAAATTCAATAATCTCTCTTCCAGCAAAGTTTGCAAAATTCATTAGCTGCATAAAATACTCTCTGCTGTGGTGTTCGAATTCTGGTTGACATGACATCTGTTTGCATGTCAAATTAAATAGCAAGCAATTTTGTTAAATGTTAACAATTAGATTGGGGTTATTTCATCAAGCGGTAAACTTGCGGTTCCAAAAATGGCAAGAAAGCTCTAATCGCGCCGCTCCAAAGGCAATCTATATAAATAATAATATAATCCACGCCTATGCAGGAGGAAGTTCAAACTTCAGAGGTGGAACTTGATGCAGTAAATTTGCAGTAAGTCAGAAAAAAAATACCAGATTTAGGCATATATACCAGATCTAAAATATTCATACCAGACACCTGAAAATACCAGATTGTGAAATCTGGTAGGTATAGAAATATACCATCTGGCAATTTTGGCTTCAGTGTTACTTAAAATCTACAGACAATGTTGCCATTCCATCCAAATGAAAACTGTGTCTAAATCAGAACTGTGTCGGACGGCTCCGCGGCCCGCGCCGAGTGCTGCGTGGTGTGGAATCAATAACCGTGATTTGCGCGAACTGCGCTGACCTAGGGCTTCAAAAAACTATTTATGCACGGGAAATTTCCCCGTTCATATACATCTTCCTGAGTGTGGGCTTCATATCAGCAGCCATATAGTATTTCTTCTGTATCTGTAAGTGTAAGCTTACAGGAGTGGGCTTGTAATTTCACACCATTTTAATAGTCAAGTGAATTCACTATAACAAAAGAAAATCTTGAAAAATATCAAACAAACCAGAAATAGAAAGGAATATTTTAGTGATGACCATCATATATTTAGAGAAATAAATTATAGTTAAGGTTAATTACTTTTCAGTCTATGTTGCCCAGTGCACAATTGTATCTATGCAATTCTATGCATTAATTTTCCATTTGTAAAATTTTTTTCACTGAGTAAGGTAAATGTAATAAAAATTCTTTGTTGTTAATCATATTTTTTGTTAATTGGATTGGTGGATGCTTTGCTAACCAAGGTTTTACTGTAAATGCATTTTTTGGGGTGTCCCTTATTACCCTGGGGAGTGGGGGGTGTCCTCACAGTTTACTTATAAGTAAATTCATAAATCAAATAAATTTCAATGAAAAAAGTGGAAATATAGTTTGGGAGCTATATACTTAACATGACTGCCTTTTAAATCTTGTACATTTCAAAAGTTTTCTAATAACAAAATGCATTCAACTTTATTACAACTTACTTGCTAGTGGCTTATAAAACAGCCAGTTCCATAATACTTAAGGCCACTAGCGGAATAGTTGTGGTGGTTTGTAATAACCATTTATAGCTACTACTACAATGAGCTGCATCCAAATGAACCTTATGATAGATAGTTCATGATATTGTAAAGTCAATGCAGGGCATATTTGAACTCATGGATTGCATTCATTGTGGCAAGTTAGAGGCTTCTAATTTTCATTCATTTTATCATAATGTGAAAAAACTTTGTGAACCAAAGCCAAATTTTGTTTATACCATTAACATCACACACATGATATTGAAAGACTCCTGATGAAGCAACTTTACTAATAACTTTAGTTGTACGTAGGTACTGACAGAAAAAGGTTTTAATTCAATTAGCTGAGAAGCTAAAGCAAAATTTTAGTGGCATATTTTTTTGGATAATAAAGTAGTTTTCTTAGAGTGATGCAAGAAAATAATTAAGAATTACAGAATGCATGAATTGTTATTCAATGCCAATAATTGGCTAATCAATTTTTAATGTTAGAGAGGTAATGATAAATCTTGTCAAAGCAGGACCTGATTTGATGTCATGTATTTTGTCTTGAGACTGGACTTGATGCAGTTTTTATGTTAAATGCTGTCTGGTTTCTCAAATATACACTAATTTTCACTACATGGCAGTGGTTTGTAGCTGTAGGTCAAAGCTGTTGAACAACTTTTTCATCATATTTCGTTTTTTTTTTTCAGGTAAACTGGGAGTTAAGTTATTGTTGATACTTGTTGTGTTACTCCTACTGCATTTATTGTCAACAACTACTACTCCTCAAGCAACCATGGTGGTTCCTTCACTTCAAAGTTACTGCCATATCCTTCAACTGACAAGAAATACTTCAAAGGTACGTACAGTATTTATTTCAAGATATAATATGCTTAAATTTATACATTTCCTATTGAGTTACTTTCTTTCTAGGATTTGAAAGCCAGTACAAAACTATTTTTGTATTTTAATTTATGTGAAATAATACCTATGTTACTTGTTGTAGAACTCAGTGAAAAATTAAAAATCTAGTTACAGTGGAGCTTTTTTTACTAATAAATTGATAAAACTTCATTTAAAAAATTTTTGGTGTTGCTTGGGTTTTGGTAACACCAGCTTATAAATGTGTTTTCAAGGTTTTTTTTTTCTTCTAAAAAATCTCTTCAGACTCCCTCTTAATGATCTGGTCTCTTCCAAAACTAGTGTGAAAGAATTAATCTATTTTTTAATTTGCTGTACTTGTCTTGACATAGATTTTGACCTTGATTAGCATATTCTTGAAAAAGTTAGATTTATTCATAAATTTCTTTCTTTTCACAGTGTAGTGTGATCTACACAAGTGCAGGCAGTCTGCACAGCAGTGCAGCCTTGTCAGCTTTTCCTCTGAAGTACCCAAATCATAAGATGGACAAGGACGTCAGAATACGCAAAACTGTAAAAGAAAATAATTTCCACAGAGCAAATGTTGTTGCAATGATGAGAGTGCCTCATCTGTTACCCAGAGAAATAGTGGTAAGTAAGAAATGTATTTTAAGGTTTATTACGGAAGAATTGTAAAATTACTTTCTTGGTGAATATTGCATGAATTGTAATTTTATTTTTTAATCAACAGTGAATGCTTGTTTCCTTTGTCTACTCATGGGTCAACCTGACCTTCAGAAACATTGTAAATCAATTATTCTATCAAACATTTTTTATTCGGGCACCAATGTTGCCATTTCACAAATAATCTATTTCATGTATTTATTTGTGTGTGATAATTCTTGAAACTGAAAAAATACTTTGCTTCATAAGTTCATGGAAGGTCATTAATTGATTTGTTATTCTAATCATGAACTCATTTCCAATATTAACTATATGATTTCATAGCAATTATTTAAATTGTTATATAATTGTTACCACCCAATATAATTTTGTTGGTATGTGACAGGAGGATGCCAAGGACGAGCTAAAGACTATGCCGCTCAATCATCACTGGACCAGGATGCATCCACGCTGTCTAGTCACATCCAGACCTAGAGGTCTAGTGAAAGAGTGAGTGAGGGCTAGCACATGACAGAGTGAGTGAGGGCTAGTACCGGACAGAGTGAGTGAGGGCTAGCACAGCACACAGTGAGTGAGGGCTAGCACAGCACACAGTGAGTGAGGGCTAGCACAGGACAGTGAGTGAGGGCTAGCACAGGACAGAGTGAGTGAGGGCTAGCACAGGACAGAGTGAGTGAGGGCTAGCACAGGCAGTGAGTGTGGGCTTGCACGGGAAAGAGTGGGTGGTCGGCTAGCACCGAAAATTCTATCCAGAACTAATCAAAAGGAATAAAAGTGAATCAGCGTGATAGAATTGATGTTATACGTGACGCTTTATTAAAATGCAGTGCTATTTTTGTTGTATTTTATGTGCTTTTTTTCGAATTGAGCAAGATCTTGACAAGGTGATGGGCTGTGCGTTGTCATTTTCTGACAGTTTCTGACTAGAAAAAAAAAACAATATTATTGAATATAACTTGATTCAAACAAATCATGCGCAATTTTCTCCTCGCTTGTTTAATTACCACCAATAATCGGCATCTATTTGGCATTTTCTCAGTTATCTCTTTCTAAGTAATGAATCGCATATACCCAAATAAACGCCCTGGCATGTTCTTTTCAACAATACTATAATATTTGCATTGTGATTGCTTATAAAATAAACGAATACTCGAGCGGAATAATTTACCCGTTGCTTTAGAATTTAGTCTTCACTTTGCTCTTCTTAAACCATAACAATACGTCTTCATGTGCAGCTGGAAACTTTCTCGCATCGTGTGGCGTCACGAGGCAGACTACAATAAATTGTCTGGAGTACAATGGGCCTTCTGGAGGTAGAATAATTTCTCGCTTGATGAGCCTACAACAACTCATGTTATAGTGTGCGTTTTAAATATGAACAATTTCTAGTTGTGAGTTTTTTGGTTGTTCAATTTGAAGCGATTATAAAAATACTTGGACGGCTGGTTTATCCTTCAATCTAGGTAGGTCCTATGAATGCAATGACCGTCGGCTATACCTAATATTTGTAATGCCAGCGAAGAGTTAACTATCACTTTTATTTATTTTAGTAATGCTTAACTTAGTTTTCAACTAAATTTTCTGTCTAGTTGAATTGAAACGGTATTTCACCATCATGTGCTTGCTGGTTAATTGTTCAAATCGATCAGAAATGTAATTTTTTGCGTTTTCGTAACACTTCCGAAATTATTGTGTATAGCTCGATTGCACGTGGAATTCATATTACACTTAGTTTATTTGTATTTTATAAATTTATAGACATTAACATAGTGAAGAGGAGAGCCACGAGATGTATTGAAATATGACCGTGTTTATTTGTGGAATTACGTCAGTGCCGTGGTTATTTGTCTGCAGCACCTGAACAATCACTACTGTTTGTTGAGAATTCGAACTTGCGATGCGTTTGTTCCGAAGCTCCGAACATGTCTATTTGTAAATATTAAATGCTGAATGAAAATTGATTTGTTGTGTAAGTTATTTGTACTGTAATGAAGGTCCATTGTACTGTAAGGCACGCGTTATTTACACTATAATGAAGCTCCCTGCCACAACCAGTCTTGTCTAATTATTTTCCTCACGTGCACCATTTGGAAAGGGTGCTAAAATTATAAATTCAATATTGCTCAACTTGCGGATGCTAGATTAGTATGAAATTTCTCAAGCATTGATTAGATGAATCAGAGCATCCGCGTTATATATAACTAGTCTTTTCATGAACAATCAAACGCTCAGAAAATTTTTTTTTAAGTCAGCGGCAAATTTCTCAAAATACATTGGTATTTGATTCTTATGCGGTCATTGACCTTTTATTGAAATTATTTTTTCATGTCAGGGGTACCAACTACGCTATGGTTCTCCACGTGTTATGTTGGACCGGTTATCTCGTGCTATGTGGTACGCACACAAACTAGTCCATTTGTACCAGTATTTTTTCGTTCGTAACTTTGTTATTTAATTGAAAAAAATTTGATTTATCTGCAAGTTTGAAAACGTTTAATTTGATTAAATAAGTATTTGTTTCTAGTTACAACGATTAAAAGATGGCGTAGGCGAATTCCTACCGAGCTGCGGCTGCGAAGAATGCTAGCCCGCCTGTTGGCTGCTGAGTCAACGGTGACGTCACATGCTCCTACGTAATGGAATTTGCGTTTGGGCGTTTGATGACCAACTTCAATCGCTAGAAATAGTCTAATTTCTCACTAGATGTATTTTATTATCTAAAATTCGGCTACACTGTTGTTTGTTTTATTATGCATTGTATTCATTAGTAATTCACGAATGGAATAATCTGTTATTTTCGAACTGGCGACCTTGGCTGCTGCATTCTGATAAATTTCTTCGATAGATATGACTCAATTGTACTGAGAATCTGAGAAAGTTTGAAGAAATTGATTCCTGTATTGTTTTTTATCAAGTAAAATATATGTAATTTTAAATCCTGCTACTGCGTAACTTGTCATTTGCTACCAGTGAATCGCTCATAATTCAATTTTGCTTTTGTTCATTTTAAAAAATTATATACATGTATCTTCCAGTTGGGATTCTTTTACCAGACGCCGTCAAATTCTGGAAAGTGAATGCGACGGATTTTATTTCGTTATAAGTTAGCGAGAAGCCAATGAGCTCAAACTTTCATCCCTATCTAACAACATTTGCCTATTGACATGGTAATAAAACGGTTTAGGTTTAATGCTTCTTCTTTCTTCACGATTACCTGTTTAGAAAAATTGAAAGCAATCCTCTGCACGCTTTTATCACGTTTGTCAGTAATTGTGTGAAATTTTATCTCACGAATAGTCGTATAATCTAAGAAACAGTTGTGTAGCAACAATTTCATCGTTCGAAGTGTTTGCCTTGATGAGCTATCATGCGTTATCAAGTACTTGGTACCTTATCGCTAACCTTTATTTATGGTATTATAGATTAACGCTCTAGTACTTTCAGTTATTTTTCCTCGAGTCTTCATGCTTTTCAAAGTGCAAATTTAATAATCGTTGCGATTGGTATGGGGTCATGATCAATCGGAATCATTAAATCAACCTACTCGTATGCAGCCTCTTGAATCCATAACCTGGTTATGGAACAACATTCACTTGCTCTTCTCTGCTTCTAATTCCCGTCTGTTATATATTCTCCGTTACTCTGTTCTCCTCACACTATTCCTTTTTCATATTTCGAACATCACACACAGAATTTTCTTAATTTTCTTATTCACCTGTCATCTTGTGACATTTATTTCCTGTTGTTGTCTTGCTTCAGTGCAGTGACTCCAAGATTTTCCCCCCTTCCTGCTGTAGAAATAAGGTTACTCCCCCATTCACATTTTCAAAAACAATCCGCCTTGGGTTTGTCAGATTACCTGACGACCAAAATCCGTGAGAAAAGCGCTGCTACCGGAAGGTACTAACGAACCAAAGCTAATGCTGGATTATCATCTTACTCATGCTGCTTTCTCGGGTAGCATAAGTACCTGGATTTATGTACATGACCCATATCGCTATGCCCTGTTTCAAGCTTTTTAGTTGTTACTGAACTAAATTTCCTCACGAAAATTTGTCTCACAACTCTGTAGCTATTACTTTTTTTTTGTTTCTATTTACTTTCATTCAAGTAGAAATAGTCTCGAGCAGCGAATGCATGATTTTGAATGCTTAAGCGTCAACTTAATCTCCATAGTGAAGCTTCTTCCGGCTCGTGACTGTACGCTGGGACATTTCCCCACTCCCTCCCTCTTCCTCCCTTTCTATTCTATCCTTTTCCTTGCGACACAATGTGACCCCCCCCCCT